TGATTAATATGCTTCACATGCAAGCCGTATTGGACTGATTTTATAACTGGAATATCCTCCTAGCAAATGTGCCTATTACCCAGGTCATGGTAAATTTTGGGGTTAAGGGATCCCGTTTTGCGTTGGCGTCCCTCCCACAGAATCATAGGACTGTTTAAGAAGGCTTATCATACTTGCTGTCCCTCATAGGTCTTACAGATGCAACTCCCTGCTGGGAACCCAAATCTTTTTCACTAGAAAAGGTAAAATGGGCCTGACATTGTGACTCACTCCTGTAATACCAGCACTTTGGGAGGCCTAGGTGGGTGAATCACTTGAGGTCAGTAGTTTGATACCAGCCTGGCCAAAATGATGAAACGTTGTCTGTACTGAAAGTACAAAAATTAGCTGGGCATGATGATGGGCATCTGCAATCCCAGGTACTTGGGAGGCTGAGACAGGAGAATTACTTGAACCCAGGAGGCAGAGGTTTCACTGCACTCCAGGCTAGGCAACAAGAGTGAGACTCCATCTCAATTTAAAAAAAGAAAAGTTAAAATTATCTGGGGCTAAGAACAAAACAAGACAAAACAGAAAAACAAATGAAAACATACAGATTAAAAGAATCATCAAATGTAAGATGTTTAAACAAACTTTACAGAAAGTAGCTGTAAGCCCTTTACCTAAATATCTCATGAAAATGGGTACTACATTTGACTGGGGAATGTTTCCCCTTTCTGGTATTATAAAACTGAAGGCATGTAAGTCTATTCTTTTGGTAAATGTTATTTGAACACAGTAAATGGGAACTAGTAAAATTGCCTGAGCAAACAAAGCATTGGTTGGAGTGGTAGTCAGGATAAATCTTCCATTTCTTAGCTATTTATGGCACATTTATTGGGGCTGATTGCAAAAAAACTGCAAATAATTCCCAGTGACAATAACTGAACTGAGAATTTCCACCTGAGAGGCATTTACTGCCTTGCTATGGAATTTTAACTGAAGCTATCCCTATGCTAATACAAATGATGGTGCCCAAAATAGTTCCATAAAAAATAAAAAAATGATTTACATAGAATCTTGCTACCTGGGGATATTAGGAGAAAATACTAATAAGTAGGGAACCTCTTTCCTAGATTCTACCGTACCTGATAGACAGTTTTTATGAGCTGTTGGCTTGTAAACAGCATTTCCAAAATAAACAAACATGTTGTTTGAAAGCTACTGCTCTGGCTAAAGCATGGTCAGTAAAATCTTTTTCTTTTGAGTTATTCAGGCAAAGTGCCTTGTTGTAAGAAAATTTACCTTTCTCTTTGAGTTCTAAAATTTAGATTGTGATTTTGTGACAAAATAGTTATTTGCATAAATTCAAAAAATGTCTTTTAAAACAAAAGAATTTGAGACACTGGTTATTTTAACAAGACTTTAACTAAAATAGCATATTTTTAGGTAAATTTCTGGCAAGGTCAACTTCAAGAAGCCTATATGGCCAATCAATTCTTGCTGCATTATTTATTTATTTATTTGGAAACAAAGTCTCCCTCTGTCACCCAGGCTGGACTGCGTTGGTACAGTCTTGGCTTGCTGCAACCTCCGCCTCTTGGGTTCAAGCAATTCTGCTGCCTCAGCCTACCAAGTAGCTGGGACCATAGGTGTGTGCCACCACACCTGGCTAATTTTTGTATTTTTAGTAGAGATGGGATTTCACCATGTTAGCCAGGCTGGTCTTGAACTCCTGACCTCAGACAATCAGGCTGCATTTTATGCAAAATAACCAGGCCAAGTATAATAAGTCTAAAACTTATTTTGAACACAAATTGGTCTTGTTATAATTTCTCTTTAATAAAAAAGAGGGGGGGCTAAAGAAATTGCTTCAAAGGAAAACATTTAATACTAGATTTCAGGACTAACTTTTTTTTTTTTTTTTTTTTTTTTTTTTTTTTTTTTTTTTTGAGTGCAGACTGAATCATTGTTTCTTGGCTACAATAATCCACTAGAGAATACCAGATTATAATTTTTCTTTATATTTTTAGTGGGTACCCTAATGGAATATGTTCGTTTTTCTGTTCTGACGCACACATTACTCTTTTAATTGTCAAACTACAAATATTGTTTATCTCTTCTTGTTTTACTTCCAAGAAAGCCCAAATCATGGTATTTTGAAGACCAGAGATGTTAATCTCCCTCATCTTGGCATCCCACTGAGCCGGAATCTGTATTTCATTCTGCAGCAAAAACTATAACAGCAACCTTCCCTCTAGGCCCAGCTACTGTAACAGAAGAGGGAGTGTGTAAGATTGTAAGGGCTGATTTTGAGGGATAAAATTCATTCAAGGTCAAACACTCCAAATCAAGGAGAGGTACAAAAATGCCTAAACAGCTGGTGAAACAAGTTTAGTTGTCTTCTAAACTGTTATGTGTCACTTTTCCACCAACCCAAACTATAAAACAGTTTTTGCTTACTATAGAATTACAAAAAAATTTTTTCCTAACTAGATTTAAAAAATACTTTGTAAGTTTCCATGTAGTTCTGAGGTTTTTAGTGCGTTTCTTGATTCTGAGTTCTAATTTGATTGCACTGTGATCTGAGAGACTGCCTGTTACGATTTCCATTCTTTTCCATTTGCTGAGGAGTGTTTTATTTCCAATTATGTGGTCAATTTTAGAATAAGTGAGATGTGGTGCTGAGAAGAATGTATATTCTGCTGATTATGGGGTGGAGAGTTCTGTAGATGTCTATTAGGTCCACTTGGTCCAGAGTTATCCCATTACTAAGTATATACCCAAAGGATTATAAATCATTCTACTGTAAAGACACATGCACACATATGTTTATTGCAGAACTATTCACAATAGCAAAGACCTGGAACTAACCCAAATGCCCATCAATCATAGACTGTATAAATAAAATGTGGCACATATACACCGTGGAATACTATGCAGCCACAAAAAAAGGATGAATTTATGTTCTTTGAAGGGATATGGATGAAGCTGGAAACCATCATTCTCAGCAAATTAACACAGATACAGAAAACCAAACACTGCATGTTCTCACTCGTAAGTGGGAGTTGAACAATGAGAACACATGGACCCAGGGAGGGGAACATCACACACTAGGGCCTGTTGAGGGCTGGGGATCTAAGGGAGGAATATCATAAGAAGAAATGTAGATGATGGGTTTATGGGTGCAGCAAACCACCATGGCATATGTACACCTATGTAACAAATCTGCACATTCTTCACGTGTATCCCAGAACTTCAAGTATAATAATAATAATAATAATAATAATAATAAATACCTTGTAATAAAGCCTCTTGGGTATAATACTCCCAGTTGTGAGTTATGAAGATAAACATATATACATAATTTTTTCAGAACAATGCTTATGTTTGTGTAGCTAATTGCTTTATGTCTGTAACAAAGACCAAGCTTATAGTAGCTCAACACACAGAAGTTAAAAATAAGTCAGTCTCATAACTTTGCCTTTTCATTTTTGTTTATTGGCTTTTACACAAAATAATAATTTTAAGAGGTAATACATGCCTGTTCACATCCATTCTTATCTGGTCTAAAACAATCAATTGGCTGTAAGTCCTTCGACTCATAAGGCCTTCAGCCACAGAGAGTCCCGTGGAAGTACAGGACGGACCTGGGACAGGCAGCCGTGCCACCCTGGCAATGCTACAGGACAAAATAAAAATTTGCTGGTCTTTGATGTTGCCTCTGACAAATCTTGACCAGACTGGGAAGAATGTAAATGAAAAATACAATTCTAAGCCGCCCCCCTCCAACCAACTGAATGGACTTACTCTTCAACCAGGACTCTTTTAAAATTCACCTGAAAGACTAGATCAGGCCATGATGGGAAGTGGGATGTCCCACATGCTTCATTATACCTCTCCGGCATTAACATTCACAATCTATTCTATCTGAAGCCTTCTACCTAAATGTTTCACCTGCATGATGAAATCCCAGGTCTTTAGACAAACTCAACCAATTGTTAACCAGAAAATGCTTAAATTTACCTATAGCCTGGAACGCTCCCACCCCACCCCCACCAACCGCACTTCTTAATTTTTTCATTTCATTTTATTTATTATTTTTGATTTTTAGAGATGGGGTTCCATGTCTTAAACCCTGACCTCTTGTGATCCGCCCTGCTTGGCCTCCCAAAGTTCTGGGATTACAGGGGTGAGCCACTGTGCCCAGCCTGCACTTCTTAAATGTATTTAACTGATGCCTCATGTCTCTCTAACATGTATAAAACCAAGCTGCACTGGATTGGCCATCTTCTCACATATGCTTCTTTCTTCATGAGTGCAGATGCCATAATTAACATATTGTCCATATATATATCCACAATACATGTTCGTTAAGTCAGATACGTTTGCTGTAACCCTGAAAGAGAAAGTAAAGAATTACACTTGGCAAGTCAGATATTTGAAACATATTCACAGAAAAATCATTACATTTCCAACATTGATATTGCCCTAGACCTGCATTCTTTAAACTAAATCTAATTTAATGTTCGGAGCATCAAAAGTGTCCAAGTTGATTGTTTATACTGACACATATGCAATGTCAAATACTGCTTCATTTCTCCCTGCCTTTTCCACTTTCTAGCATCTGATATTTGCTGTCCTTTTCTTACAGACTTAGCAACACCCCCCCCCACCTTCATATATAATATCATTTGGAATAATGCCATTTCCGAAGACTCTCTAGTCTAACTGACCTAGTAGTAAGTCTGGGACCCTGTCTTCCTCAAGTGCGTTTCATAATCATCAGAGTCCAGGAATTCACCTAAGGTATGATGCCTTAAGTTCAACATCGTCTCCAAGTGACGCTTTCATAAGATTTTACTCTGAAGTTCTAATACCAGCCCATCAATACTGGATAAATGATCAGGGATTATACATTAAAAACAAATTTGTAAATTAAAAATATTACCTTTTAGATTAATTTAGTGTCCACACTTGGGTAAAAAGATAATGATATCAACCAGTAAATAACTTCATCATTTAAATTTTTAAGAATGAGATTTATTTCTGGTGACATAGGACAGATGTCAATTATTACTGCCCCCTTTCAGAAACAAACCCCAAAACAACCCAGAATTAAAAGATGAAAATAAGGTATTTATGTACATACATGTCATGCATACAATTATTATAGACTTTTTTCAGTTTTCCTTTCGATAATTGAAAATATCTACTGTTTTCCATTCCATTATAGATTGCATTTTCAATGATTACAAACACATACATATTCTATATTTTCAAAACAAGATTCCATCTGTACTCTCTCCTGACACACACATTACCTTTGTCTCTAGTCCTTCACTCCAAACGAGACCTTTAAAATATATGTCCTTCTCCTTCCATTTGGAGATAGCTTATCTTCCATTCTATCCTATCATTGCCAACCACCAGAGGTGGGGCCACCTTGTCTTTCTGACCCACACTCCTACACTTACTATTTCTATCTGAAAGAAAAAGCAAACAAAACAAAAAATTCCGTTTGCCATTATGGCCCAATGTGATGAGTACGCAGGGATCACAGTGCCTAAACTCAGTGTGGTGGCACCTGAACGCAGTTGGCTCAGAGCTGTCTCCTGCTAAAAATATATACTAAAAAACACGTGTTAAATGAAGAACTTCTGGCCCTGTGCGGTGGCTCAAGACTGTAATCCCATCACTTTGGGAGGCTGAGGCTGGCAGATCACGAGGTCAAGAGTTCGAGACTAGTCTGTCCAACATGGAGAAATCCCGTCTCTACTAAAAATACAAAAATTAGCCGGGTGTGGTGGCGCATGTCTGTAATCCCAGCTACTCAGGTGGCTTAGGCAGGAGAATCAATTGAACCCTGGAGATGGAGGTTGCGGTGAGCCGAGATTGCGTCACTGCACTCCAGCCTGGGCAACAAGAGCAAAACTCCGTCTCAAAAAAAAAAAAAAAAAAAAAAAGAACTTCCAACAGTGTCCAGCAGGTTGAGACTCTGGTTTCTTTGTCTGATATCGTCTGCTTCCCAAATCTTAAAGATTAAAAAGTACAAATGAAATTTGTCACTATTTTATTATTATTACTATTATTAATAATTGAGAAAGAGTCTCCCTCTGTCGCCCAGGCTGGAGTGCAGTGACGCCATCTTGGCTCACTGCAACCTCCGCCTCCTGGGTTCAAGCCTCGGCCTCCTGAGTAGCTGGGATTACAGGTGCCTGCCACCATGACCTGCTAATTTTTCTATTTTTAGTAGAGACGGGGTTTCACCATGTTGGTCGGGCTGGTTTCGAACTCCTGACCTCGTGATTCACCCTCCTTGGCCTCCCAAAATACTGGGATTACAGACGTGAGCCACCATTTTTATGTAAAGACTTATTTTTTTCTCATTATAAGCAGAAAAAATACAACTCATAAACCCACTTAAAATAGCATATAACCACATTCCTCATTATACTACACAAATTATTTTATCTCTACTATATATGTAATGTATCATGCTAAGGTTTATTCTTTGACCTGAAATGCTCTTCTAAACCAGTCTTTAAATTTTTCATTCAAAAAATGCCCATTTCAGAATATAAGTCAGTGCTACAGCAATTTCTCAAAGAACTAAAAATGGAATTACCATTTGATCCAGCGATTCCACTCTTGGGTATTTACCCAAAGGAAAATAAATTATTATATTAAGAAAAAGACACCTACACTCCTGTGTTTATTGTAGCACTATGCACAGTAGCAAAATCATAAAAATGTCCTAAGGATTGTTTTCTTTCAGGGTATATACACCATGAAATGCTACTCAACTATAAAAAAAAGAAGAAAATCATGTATTTTGCAGCCAAATGGATAGAGCTGGAGACTATTCTCTTAAGCGAAATAACTCAGAGACATAAATTTAAATACTGTATGTTCTCATTTAAGTGGGAGCTAAATAATATGTACATATAGACATAAAAACTGGAATAATGGACATTGTAGACTCCACAAAGTAGGAGGGTGGGAGGAAAATAAAGAAGGAGAAATTACCTGTAAAGTGTACACTATCCAGGTAATGGTTACACTGAAAACACAGACTTCATCACTATGGAATATATTTATATAACAAAACTGCACTCATACCCCCTTATTCCAGAAAGTTTTTTAAGGCTCATTTCAAGTGTCATTTATAACAAAAGTAGCATTGCTAAAATTTATGATTGGTTAGTCTGTGTATTCTTGCTGAGGCATTATCACGCTATATTCTCTTTATCTCTAGCATCATTCAATCAGTCGGCACTTACTATCAATGGTTAAGTAACTTTAGTGATGAATCAATCTTTCACTCATCTTTGAACCCCAGAACTTAGCACAATATTAAGTATTTGTTAGAATCCAGCGACTTTTCTGGGCTTCCATAATTTTTCTTAAACTTATTATTTTCAGAAGTCTCCATACTTTGGCTACTGTAATTTTGTTAGTGGCTTGTCAAAGTTACCAGAAGACATTTATGGTAACTTTCTATATTAGAAAATCATCAAAAAAGCATGAGAGAAAATGGTTCTTTTAGGCTGCAATATCTACTGAAGCTAGTTTTAATTTGAATCTACAGTGCTCCTAAGGAAAATACCTCTGCTCAAACCCAACTATAAAATTTCAACAAGAATAGACACTTACCAGTCAGAGGAGTTGATTATATCATCAACGATCTTATGATTAGTTTGATCTTTTTTGGGAGATAATCCCAGCCAATATCCATATAATTTATTTTGGGATTTTATAAATTCCTACAGGAAATACAAATGGTCTATTTGAGAAACAGTTTCTTACTTTTGTATTTTACATTATAACATACTTTCTTACAAATTGCTGTTTTAAGGTGACATACTTGACATTGCACTACTACTATTAAATGCCATTAAAAGAAATTGAAAGAAAGTACTCCTTACTATAAAATTTCAACATTTAAAAAAATATTATCATTGCTGGTCTCACAAGAAGAGAGGCCCTACTAATCCACGTATAACCTTAATTTACAGTCATTGAAAAGTTCACAATGACAAGTTCAGGATTCAAAAATCTGAGCTGTAAACATTGTGTCCAGGGGCAAAGGAGGTGGCTGATGGCTACCAACAAGAGTTAATAGAAACAGAAAGAGTAGGAAAAAATGCCCCACACTCAGATGTGAGTGGTTATAAAACAGAATTCAGAACAAGTCCAGAATCTTGTAGCCAAATAACAGGTATTTTTTCCTTGTTCCACACTTAAAAAACACCTTTTTTAGAGTAAGTAACTGTGAATGGGTCACTTGAGAATAATGTGATGAGGAAGAGATTATGGATTGATTTCTCTCCCTTCTAAAGTATAATGAAAGTTTCTTGTTGTGAGGAAGCAGAGACTTTTAGAAAATGTAATTTTCATTACAAATATATGATTATTATTTAAGAGACCAAAAATGCTATATAAAATAAGTATAACATGGAAACACTAGGCAATAAAAACTAAGAAAATGAATAAATCAATAAAACTACTAGAAAACATATTTTTCCTGAGACTCAAGGACTCAGTGCAATACATCTGTTTGACACTTGGCTGTGCCACCTTCTTTCAGCTCTTCTTGTTTACACATATTTTATGCCAGCCTACTATAACTTGCCTATTTCTCTTAGTGAATTAAAAAATACAAAATGGTAGAAACAAAACAAATCCTCCAATGTCATTTTTATGGAATTAGTAACCCTCAGGAATAATGTCTGTATCCTGTTTTTAATGTTTATAAATTACGTTCTGAGATTTGATTCCCAGATTCTAATTTGGAAATACATACAGACCTATAAATTCCTGCGCGCCCTGTATCTACTCATCTACCTGTCAGCTAGTAATATGCCTGTTATGCTAAGGTCCTAAGCTAAGGTTTTATACGTTTTACCATGCCTATGATATCTTGAGATAAATGTACAAAGTTCCAGTCATTTCTCACCCCAACTAAAATAAACCAGAATCATGAGTGGTTGATTGAGGTCTTCTCTAACATGCCACACCTCCCTCTATCCCATGATGGTAGAAACATCTGGGCTTTACCAATGCACTTTTATTGTTAATCTCCAACAGGCTGGCATTGTGAGCAGCACAGGCCTTTTGACTCTCCTGCCATGTTTGGTAATCATCACTTAGGAAATAACAGCTGTCCCCATGCCACATCCATCTCTCTGGACAAGGCTTGCATTTGTGCTCTGAAAGAAGAATATAGTTTTATTTGGGTTTTATTAATAGTCTTAATAATTCTTATTATTTCCTTTCCTCTCTATGTGACATTCTCCACATTTGCTGTTTCTTATTCTCCCTCTTTCTTTCTTTCCTTCTTTCTTTCTTTCTTTCTTTCTTTCTTTCTTCTTTCTTTCTTTCTTTCTTTCTTTCTTTTCTTTTTTGAGACAGGGTCTTGCTCTCTTCCCCAAGCTGGAGTGTAGCGGCACGATCTCAGCTCACTGCAGCCTCCATCTACTGGATTCAAATGACTCTCCCCTTGGCCACCCAAGTAGCTGGGATTACATGCTGTTTCTTTTTTTTACATCAAAGGAGAAGTAAGTGAATCCTGTATTCTAGCTCCCTATATACCATCATAATGTGTCAGACACATAACTTGCACAAAAACATTTCAAATTAAGCACTGGGATTCAAGTGTATCTTCCTATATCAATCCCTCTTTGCTATTTTTTGTATTCTTTAATGACAACAAACACAAATTATAGGAAATATTCTGTATAGTGAAATATAGTGTATAGTTTCTCAGAAGCAAAAGAAATATGTTTTAGTAACCATGACTGTAGAAACTTAGGGAGATATTATAAGACCAACTTCCCCTGATCCCGAAGGTGACATCTCAATTTATTTATTTTTTTGTGTGTGTGGACTTTGTTATCAATCACTGACTGAAATTTAAGAATGAAGTCACCTATAAAGAGGTGTCACTTCCTCCCTATCTTTTATTAACCTCATTGCCCAGAATAATGATAGTGACAGATTAGAGAAACGGTTCTAACATTTTATCATGTAACTGTTATCTCCTGATAATTTGGGCTCTATTATTATTACTCTTTCTGTCTTTCTTCTAACTGCAAGGAAATGAATTCTCTATCAACCACATGTAATTCCTTCCCCCAAATTATGACTCCCTAGGAAAAGGCTGCTAGCTAATTATAAAATGATTCTTAAGAGGCTCAGTGCTTTAGTTTATTGTCCAATAAATGACACCAAGAGAATACAGGAATACCTTTTTTTCCTCTATATAGCTCACGACATAATTTGGTGGCTGTTGTTTGCAGTGTGGTGGAGAGGTTCCTGATCTTGTCAGAGCTATTCATGTTACTCATCAGTTGTAGAGAAACATTTCTCTGAAGCTCTTCATTGATATTTTGTAGTTCATTCACTTTTTCCATTTCTATCTTCAAAGTTATGTAAACTTCACATTAAAAATGACAAAAAATTGTAAACTCTCAATAGAACCATCATCCTTTATCATTTGCAGAAGTAGTATAAAGATTAAAGGGGTAGGGAAAGCCATTACTCTACAGGAGTGAGGGAAAGACACTACATTCCACATCTTAAGTTCTCCTTGTGGGCATATCACCTATCATTATTACAAATCTTCCACTCAAGGAATAAACGTTTATTGTTAAATATTTGAAATTCTAGATACTTTCTCTTTTAACTGAAACAGGACTAGTACATACATATGCTTCCCAAGACTCCCAATCCAATGAGCAGGAGAAGGCACAGAAGAGTCAGAAACAAGGCTGCTGGACGCCATACACGAGAGGGAGCGGGAGGTGCTGTGGAAAGCAAAATTAACAGGGAGGACTAAACATGGTTTATACTTTCATTTGAATTATTTACTCATTCATTCATTCATTCATTTTACTTTTATTTCCTAATATACCTATTGGAAAGGAATGGATTTGTTAGACATTCAAGGATATTTTAAAAATATTTTGAAGAACATGTCAAGAATAAGTCAAAATCACTGATTTGTTTTGTATGTAAATTGATTCTGGCATGAGAAGCTGTTAACTGGTAGACTGATTCAAAAATCAGAGAAGCAAAAACAGAATTTATAATAGAGAATGGAGAACACCAGTCAATCTAGATATAGTATACTTTGTACAAATTTGGGAAAAGTGAGTAAGTGGAAATTAACAGAGAAGACAATATGAGTAGTTGTTGCTTGAATAGACAATTGTGGCATGTCAGGAAAAACAATTTCAGTTGTTTACATATCCCTCAGGTAATTCTGAGAGCTTAGCTGCAGAATAAACAAGATAGGCTGTCTCTTTGTAATGTCTTTGGGTGTCCTCCCAGTAGCCTTTGATCTTAGTCAGTCCAGATATACACCGTTTTTTATTGTAATTTTTCAAATTTTTTCATGTTTTTTTCACAGGAAACTTTTATTGAATACTTCCTTTTTAGTGACTAGAGAAGTCAAGAATAGACAATTTCTCTATTTTTAAAAAAACAGGAATTATAAATTTTATATTATGAATGAATTATTATTGTGACTAAATTATTTAAATCAACACTATGTGTATAGGTAAAGACTAGCTAGATATTTCAAGAAAATACAATTCAGGGATACCATGATAATCTTACTATACTTCTGAGCTATGTCTTACATCTCATAGAGGCAGACACTCAATATCAGCTCATGAAAGCAGCCAAGAGGGAAACTGTACCCTGCAAAGCCACAGGGGTGGAGCTGCCCAAGGTCAGCTCTTTCATCAGAATGATCTGCATGTGAGACATGGGGTCAAAGGAGATGATTTTGGAGCTTTAAGAGTTGACTGCCCCATTGGATTTTGGACTTGCATGGGTCCTGCAGCCCCTTTGTTTTGGCCAATTTCTCCCATTTGGAATGACTGTATTTATTCAATGCCTGTACCCTAATTGTATCTAGGAAGTAACTAATTTGCTTTTGAATTTACGGACTTATAGGTGGAAGGGACTTGCATTGTCTCAGATGATACTTTGGATTGTGGACTTTTGAGTTAATGCTGAAATGAGTTAAGACTTTTGAGGACTGCTGGGAAGGCATGATTGGTTTTGAAATGGGAGGACATGAGACTTGGGAGGGGTCAGGGGTAGAATGATATGGTTTGGCTGTCCCCACCCAAATCTTGTCTTTAATTATAGCTCCCACAATTTCCACATGTTGTTGGAGGGACCTGGTGGGAGGTAATATAATCTGGTGGTGGGGTGGGGTGGGGGTAAGGGTGGGGGGTCTTTCCTGTGCTGTTTTTGTGATAGTGATTAAGTGTCATGAGATTTGATGGTTTTATAAAGGGGAGTTTCCCTGCATAAGTTCTCTCTTCTGTTGTCTGCCACCATGTGAGAATTGCCTTTCACCTTCCACCATGATTATGAGGCCTCCCCAGCCATGTAGAACTGTGAGTCTATTTAACCAATCAGTAATAAAATGGCAGGATCAAATTCACACATAACAATATTAACATTAAATGTAAATGGACTAAGTGCCCCAATCAAAAGACACAGACTGGCAAATTGGATAAAAAGCCAAGAACCATCGGTGTGCTGTATTCAGGAGACCCATCTTATGTGCAAAGAAAGACACACATAGACTCAAAATAAAGGGATGGAAGAAGATTTACCAAGCAAAAGGAGACCAAAAAAAAAAGCAGGGGTGATAACCCTAGTCTCTGATAAAATTGACTTTAAACCAACAAAAATCAAAAGAGACAAAGAAGGGCATTGCATAATGATAAAAGGATAAATAAAACAAGAAGAGCTAACGATCCTAAATATATATGCACCCAATACAGGAGAACCTAGATACATAAAGCAAGTCCTTAATGACTTACAAAGAGACTTATACTCCCGCATGATAATAGTGAGAGACTTTAACACTCCACTGTCAATATTAGACAGATCAATGAGACAGAAAATCAACAAAGAAATCCAGGACTTGAATGCAGATCTGGACCAAGCAAACTTAATAGACAGTTACAGAACTCTTAACCCCAAATCCACAGAATATGCGTTCTTTTCAACACTACATCACACTTACTCTAAAATCGACCACATAATTGGAAGTAAATCACTCATCAGCAAATGCAAAAGAATGGAAATCATAACAAACACTCTCTCAGACCACAATGCAATCAAATTAGAACTCAGGATTAAGAAACTAACTCAAAACCGCACAACTTTCATGGAAAATCAACAACTGGTTCCTGAATGTAGACTGGATAAATAATGAAATGAAGGTAGAAATAATGGTGTTCTTTGAAACCAATGAGAATGAAGACACAACATACCAGAATCTCTGGGACACATTTAAAGCAGTGTCTAGAGGAAAATTTATAGCAATAAATGTTCACATGAGAAGCAAGGAAAGATTTAAAATGGACACCATATTGTCAAAATTGAAAGAGCTAGAGGAGTAAGATCAGAAAAACTCAAAAGCTAGCAGAAGACAAGAAATAACTAAGATCCAAGCAGAACTGAAGGTGATAGAGACACAAAAAAAAACTTTCAAAAAAAAACAACAAATCCAGGAGCTGGTTTTTTGAAAAGATGAACAAACTAGATACACCACTAGCCAGACTAATAAAAAAGGAAAGAGAGAAGAATCAAATATATGCAATAAAAAATGATAAAGGGGCATTACCACTGATTCCACAGAAATACAAACTACCATCAGAGATTACCACAAACAACTATATGCACACAAACCAGTAAATCTGGAAGAAATGGATAAATTCCTGGAGATTTGCACTCTCCCAAGACTAAACCAGGAAGAAGTTGAATCCCTAAATAGACCAATAACAAGAACTGAAGTTGAGGCAGCAATTAATAGACTATCAACTAAAAAAAGCCCAGGTCCAGACGGGTTTACAGCCAAATTCTACCAGACATACAAAGAGGAGCTGGTACCATTCCTTCTGAAACTATTACAAACAATATAAAAAGAGGGAATACTCCCCAACTCATTTTATGAGACCAGCATCACCCTAATAACAAAACTGGGAAGTGACACAACTGCAAAAGAAAACTTCAGACGAACATCCATGATGAACATTGACACAAAAATCTTGAATAAAATACTGGCAAACAGAAAACAACAGCAAATCAGCTTATTCATCATGATCAAGTAGGCTTCATCCCGGGGATGCAAGGTTGGTTCAACATACACAAGTCTATAAATTTAATCCATCACATAAACAGAACCAAAGGCAAAAACCACATGATTATCTCAATAGATGCAGAAAATACCTTCAACAAAATTCAACAGCCCTTTATGCTAAAAACTCTTAATAAACTAGGTATGAATCACAAAATAATAAAAGCAATATATGACTAGCCCACAGCCAATATCATACTGAATAGGCAAAAACTGGAAGCATTCCCTTTGAAATCTGGCATAAGACAAGAATGCCCTCTCTCACCACTCCTATTCAATATAGTATTGGAAGTTCTAGCCAGAGCAATCAGGCCAGAAAAAGAAAGTATATTCAACTAGGAAGAGAGGAAGCCAAATTGTCTCTATTTGCAGACAACATGATTGTATATTTAGAAGACCCCATCATTTCAGCCCAAAATCTCCTGAAACTGATAAGCAACTTCAGCAAAGCCTCAGGATATAAAATCAATGTGCAGAAATCACAAGCATTTCTATACACCAGTAACAGACAAACCAAGAGCCAAATCAAAAGTGAACTCCCATTCACAATTGCTATAAAGAGAATAAAATACCTAGGAATATAACTAACAAAGGATGTATATGACTTCTTAAAGGAGAACTACAAGCCACTGCTCAATGAAATAAGAGAGGACACAAACAGATGGAAAAACATCCCATGCTCATGGTTGGGAAGAATCAACATGTTGAAAATGGTCATATCGCCCAAAGACAGATTCAATGCTATCCCCATCAAGCTACCTTCTTCACAGAACTGGAAAAAAACACTTGAAACTTCATATGGAACCAAAAGAGAGCCCACATAGCCAAAACAATCCTAAGCAAAAAGAGCAAAGCTGGAAGAATCATGCTGCCTGACTTCAAACTATATTACAAGGCCACAGTAATCAGAACAGCATGGTACTGGTACCAAAACAGAGACATAGACCAATGGAACAGAACAGAGGCCTCAGAAGCAACACCACACATCTACAATTATCTGATTTTTCACAAACCTGAGAAAAACAAGCAATGGGGAAATGATTCTCTGTTTAATAAATGGTGTTGGGAAAACTGGCTAGCCATGTGCAGAAAGCAGAAACTGGACCCCTTCCTGACACCTTACGCTAAAATTAACTCCAGATGGATTAAAGATCTAAACGTAAGACCTAACACCATAAAAACCCTAGAAGAAAACCTAGGCAAAACCATTTAGGACATAGGCATAGGCAAGGACTTCATGGCTAAAACACCAAATGCAATGGCAACAAAAGCCAAAATAGACAAATGGGATCTAATTAAACTCCAGAGCTTCCATACAGCAAAAGGAGAGAATCATTAGAGCGAACTGGCAACAAACAGAATGGGGAAAAATTTTTGCAATCTACCCATCTGACAAAGGGCTAATATCCAGAATCTGCAAAGAACTAAACAAATTTATAAGAAAAAAAACAAACAAACAAACCCATTCAAAAGTGGGCAAAGGATATGAACAGACACTTTACAAAAGAAGACATTGATGAGGCCAACAAATATATGAAAAAATGCTCATCATCGCTGGTCATTAGAGAAATGCAAATCAAAACCACATTGAGATACCATCTCACACCAGTTAGAATGGTGATAATTAAAAAATCTGGAGACAACAGATGCTGGAGAGGATGTGGAGAAATAGGAACACTTTTACACTGTTGGTGGAAGTGTAAATTAGTTCAACCGTTGTGGAAGACAATGTGGCAATTCCTCAAGGACCGAAAAATAGAAATACCATTTGACCTAGCAATCCGATTACTGGGTATATACCCAAAGAATTATAAATTGTTCTATTATAAAAACACATGCACACGTATGTTCACTGCAGCACTGTTTACAGTAGCAAAGACCTGAAACCAACCCAAATGTCCATCATCAATAGACTGGATAAAGAAAATGTGGCACATATACACCATGGAATACTATGCAGCCATAAAAAATGATGAATTTTTGTCTTTCATAGGGACATGGATGAATGTGGAAACCATCATTCTCAGCAAACTGACACAAGAACAGAAAACCAAACACTGCATGTTATCACTCATCGGCGAGTGTTGAACAATTAGAAGACGTGGACACTGGGAGGGGAGCATCACACATGGCAGTCAGTCGGGGGGGCTAGGGGAGGGACAGCAGGGGATGGGGAGGGTGGGGAGGGATAATGAGGAGAGAAATACCAGATGTAGGTGATGGAGGGATGAAGGCAGCAAACCACCTTGCCATGTATGTACCTATGCAACAATCCTGCATGATTTGCACATGTACCCCAGAACCTAAAGTACAATAAAAAAACAACAACAACAACAAGAAAAAATGATTTGTTTGTGTCCTTTGTAGGGACATGGATGAATCTGGAAACCATCCTTCTCAGCAAACTGACATAAGAACAGAAAATCAAACACTGCAAGTTCTCACTTATAGGCAGATGTTGAACAGTGAGAACACATGGACACAGGGAGGGGAGCATCACACACTGTGGTCTTTTGGGAGGTCTAGGGGAGGGATGTGGGGAGTGGGGAGATAACACAGAGAGAAATGCCAGATGTAGGTGACGGAGGGATGGAGGCAACAAACCACCTTGCCGTGTATGTACCTATGCAACAATCCTACATGATCTGCACATGTGCCCCGGAACCTAAAGTACAGTTAAAAAAACAAACAAAACAAAACAAAACAAAATTATAAAGACCTAAAATTAGGAAGGATAATGTTTAACAGGAGATGAAAAGATTTAATGAGAATGTAGAAGACAGTATTCTCTTAGCTTTTTGTTTTTTGTTTTTCTGAAATGATGTTGATGCATCCTAAGAGATGATCTATGCCAGAATGGTATGCAAATAAAATATTGTGATACCTAAGGAAAAAAATCTCTTTTTATAGAAATGGCATCTCTCTACTTTGCCCAGGCTGGTCTCAAACTCCTGGCCTCAAATAATCCTCTCATCGTGGCCTCTCAAAGTGCTAGGACTATGGGTTGAGCCACTGCACCTAGCCAGAACTAGAGTTTTTAGTGGAAAAAAAAACAAAGCACGTTGGAGAGGGGAAGTGTAAGAGACTAAGGGTGGATGTTGCATAATACAATGTGAAATTGTGTACATAGGTTCTAAGCTGGTTAAAGAGAAAATTAGATGAGGTTAAGAACATGAAGAAGACATGGATTCAACATCTCTGTGAATTAAAGGAATTCTTGTGGTGGGAACTTAAAATAATTTGGATTGGCAGGAAAGGAGGTGGGAAAGGGTGTGAGAAGACAGTTAAAGGGCAATTGTTGGTACTGTGAAGCTCGTGCTATGGCAATCCTCTTTCAGCATATAAAAGAAGAAATACAAACAAGGAACTAAAGACAGAAAATAGTGTAAAATTCTTAGACCCTTCTTCTTTCTAAAAAAGTGACATTGTTAAAAAAAAAAAAAAAAAAAAAAAAAGCCCACAAAATTAATCTGCTAGCCTTTCTCAAGATTTACCATGCTCATAATAAATGGATCCAAGATTTAACAATGAAATTTCTGTTTATAGCAATGCTTGAATATTATAGATGTTGTATTCTGTGTGTTCTCCATTATCATTAATTAAGTTACTTTTAACTCAAACACATTGATTTCAACTATGGATTCACTAGGGCAGATTCCACTCCAAAAGCCAGGAGCCAGAAGGCAAGAACCATACATATAGTAAAACTACAGGATTCTGAGTAAGATGAAGAGTAGAGTTTTGTTGAAGTGAAAGATGAAAGTCAAAACAGATGGTTCACTTATTTCATGATTTAGGTTTAAATTGAAAAATACAAAGCTTCCTGACATAGTGTGGTTTTGAATATTACAAATATATTTTGTCTTCTGATATTTCTTTATCTCTTTTCCTCCTTTATTCCTTAATGATTCACTTCATTTAACTTAACATCTTTTATTTTTTAGTAAGTTAGTAAAACATCTCCAAAAGAAGTAGGAGAAATTTTAGGATGATATATGTCGAGTTTGGTAGATAGTCAAATGGAATCCTTAACAGGTCACTCTGGCTACCTGTCTGTCCGTCTTTCCTTCTTTTTGACACACACATATATATAAAGCATTTTCTTATTAAAAAAAAGAAAAAGAAAAAGAAAAAAAGAAAAAAACACATAAGAAATCCTGAACACATTCCTTGTTCCATGGCTTCATCTTATAAAGAAATAAAATCTTTATACAACCCAATCATTTGAAAAATTATGTCCCAATTATCTTGAGTGTGATAATAAAAATTTCAAAAATATAAAATATTGAGTGTTCAATGCACTGGTAACTGTTCTTACAGAAACCTTTTTTTCTAATCATTTTGTTTAAATTCCTTTGGTTCCTTTGCTTAGATATAGGAGACTTATTGAAAATTTAAGTTGAATGATAACTATATCACCAATACTGAAGATGCAGGACTGAAACTACTTCTATTATACAACTGTACAATACATCTGCAACTCAAAATCTTACCTTTTCTCCCAAATTTGTCAGTTTCTTGGATATTTTCTGTCTCAGTGGAGTTCTGGAATTTAAGATCTGCATAAGTAACTTCTTCAGACATTGATAAATATGTGAAGAAATCTTGATAAAGTGTAAAAAAACAAAGAGGTGAGAGTAAGTTAACAGAGCTGAATGTTGAACAGGACCTATGATTTTGAACTTCTGTTTATAAACGGAAGCTTAAGCTTACAAGTTTAAACTGTTTCTAAATCTACTGTACCAATCACCAGTATGTCTGCAAATGAGTCACATCTCATCTGTGGCTTCAGTTAAGAACATTTAACTATTGCAACAGATAACATCTGTCTTCCTCATATTTCTTTCTTTTTTCTCTCATTTCTATGTATTTACCAACTACAGAAAGTGGTTTTTGAAATTTTGTTTGGATAATATTACTAGTGTAATGCAAGAGTACACAAATGACTAGGACCACATGGTGCAAACATAGTGCAGGATTTATTGGTGAAAAACTTTCAAGCAGAAAAATAACAGAAAAGACACAGTTCCCAGAGAGTCACTAATCTGCAGCTATGGCCTGGCACAGATGTTCCTTACGTATCATGATGAAGGTCCTGTTAGAAAGGTTCTCTTCACGGGGACACTGACCATGCGGAGAGCACTCCGAAGGAGAATGAGACAGTTAATGCCATTTCTTCGCCGTGTTGCATATCTATAGACTTCCCTAAGAGAGCTAGGGAATGCCTGGTTTCTCTAAATAACAATATATAGGTGGGCACAAAAGTAATTGTGGTTTTTGCTATTACTTTAGCACCAACCTAGATATTAAGGGATTTGAGACCCAGAAACCCCCACCAGGGAGCATGTATACTGATGGCCAAGGTCTGTATACTGAGGGCTCTGGGAACAGCTTTGTAGGACAGGAAAACTATAACCAGCCTTGCTATCTCTCTGCAGACTGACTCAATCCATTTGATCTCACCTAAGCTACCAAAAGCGGGAAGGAAATGAGTCTCCAAAGTCCAGATTTGTGTCTTATGAGCTTGACTCAATAGTCTTAATATTTTTAATTTCATTTCTTGATCAAGTATGCAAGTGGAAGTGAGGGGGTGCAGAGCACTGTTTTTGAGTATGTTTTCTAATTTTCGTTAGTAAATCTTACTTTAAAATTCTTCTTGGCATTTCTTCATGTAAATCATAGAAAATGGTTAGGTATTATTATTATTATTATACATATAAAAGAGAATGCATAATGATTTTTGAAAATCAAAAGCTAATTGCTTTATTATGTTAGGATAGACAGGAAAAATGAAGACTCCCTTTATAAGAGCTACTAAAAAGTAACTAGGAAAATATTACAGATACAAATCAACTAGATATTTGCATAGCCAAAATGAACAAAAAGACTAAAACTATTGAAGAAAAGAAAAAAGTACAAAAACACTCCTTCAGATTAGAAGCCTCAAAGTGTAAAAAAAAGAAATTAAATTTGCCTAAATATATCAAAAATTCAATTTCAATTTAATTAAAACAATAATATATTTTCTCCTGATACTTAAATAAAAAGTAATGAAATACATCTGAAAATATTACCATGAAAATATTGGCAGCAAAATTTAAAGGAAAATATATACAAAACATGATTACTTCATCCTATGTACTTTACCAATGTTGGTTTTATCTTTACAACTCTCTATACCAGGTATCATTATTATCACTCTTATTTTACAGATGGAGAAGTGAGTTGCAAAGTGGTTAAGGCTTTTTTTGTTTTTTGTTTCTTTGTGTGTTTTTTTAAGAGAGTCTCACTCTGTCACCCAGGCTAGAGTGCAGTGACGTCTTGGCTCACTGTAACTTCCACCTGCAAGAATTCAAGCTATTCTCCTGCCTCAGCCTCCCAAATATCTGGGACCACAGGTGCAGACCACCACATCTCGCTAATTTTTGTATTTTTTAGTAGAGACGGGGTTTCATTGTATTGGCCAAGCTGGTCTCGAACTCCTGACCTCGTGACCTACTTGGCCTCCCAAAGTGCTGGGTTTACAGGCGTGAGCCACTGCGCCCATCTGCGAAGTGGTTAAGTTTGTATCTAACATCACACAGTTGGTGAGTGGTAGAGTTGAGACTTCACCAAAGACTCTGGCTGCCTTGTTCAAATACATGCACAATCTCTAATGCCTCTCCCTGTGGGAAAAAACTAGCCCTCTGTTTTTCCTAGGTGGATCAAGTGTTTGTATATAAATATTTGTTTATAATATCTCTTTGTTTATAAAAGGATGAAAACTGACCACTCCACAGGTAGAGTCCTGTTCTGTGTTATATTGCTGTTTTTTCATGTGGAAGGTTGTTTCATCAATCACTAGAAGATAAAGAGTATGATGAATTGTAAGGGGCAACAACTGAAAAATCTAAAAGTCCTGTTTGCAAGGTATTCTTGTTTGATAAAAATATTTGATAACTATTACTTCATACAAAATCCTTGGTTTAGAGCCAGCTAAAATATTTATAGCCATATGAATAAGCTGAGATCTGAAATTATTTGATGGTTTGCCCTTCGCAGTCTGTATCAGTTTTTTTAAAAATTTGTTATTGATAGGGCCGGGCGCGGTGGCTCAAGCCTGTAATCCCAGCACTTTGGGAGGCCGAGGCGGGTGGATCACAAGGTCGAGAGATCGAGACCAACCTGGTCAACATGGTGAAACCCCGTCTCTACTAAAAATACAAAAAACTAGCTGGGCATGGTGGCACGTGCCTGTAATCCCAGCTACTCAGGAGGCTGAGGCAGGAGAATTGCCTGAACTCGGGAGGCGGAGGTTGCGGTGAGCCTAGATCGCGCCATTGCACTCCAGCCTGGGTAACTAGAGCGAAACTCCGTCTCAAAAAAAAAAAAATTGTTATTGATATATAATAGTTGTATCGATTTTAGAGGTATATGTGATATTTTGAAACCTGAATACAGTGTGTAATGACCAAATCAGGGTAATAAGGATATTCATTCCCTCAAACTTACCTTTTCCTTCTGTTGGGAATACTACAATTCTCTTTTAGCTATTTTGAAATATACAATAAATTATTGTTAACTATAGTTTTCCCACTGTACTGTCAAATACTAGAACTTGTTCCTTCTACCTAACTGTATTTTTGTACCCAACCAACTTGTCTTTATTCCCCACAACCCCTTTCCAATTCTCTGGTAACCACCATCCTACTCTCAACGAGATTCATTCTTTTAACTCTCACATATGAGTGAGAACATGTGATATTTGTCTTTCTGTGCCTGGCTTATTTCAGTTGACCTGATGACCTTGAGTTCCACTCATGTTTCTGCAAATGACAAATTCCTTTTTATGGCCAAGTAATATTCCACTGTGTATATTTACTACAGATACCTGCACTTCCATGTTTATCATGGCACAAGATATGAAATCAACCTACATCAATTTTCATTCCAGTTGAATACTAAGAGATGATCTGCAAATATCAACTACAAATATCTTCCAATATTAAACATAAGTGATAAACTATCCATTACCTAAATTATGTATTTTCTGGGGGTTGTCATAATGGAAAAAAGGGAAATAAATAAAGATAGGTGAAGAAAAGTGCACAGGGGTGAAAAGTTATAGACACACATCTTCAGAGTCACATAATTTAAAAGTTGAGAGACCACGGTGACCATGATATACTCATACAAAAAAAGAAACACACACTTGGGATCCAAAAACAATAAAAATGGTTACACATTATAAAGAAAATTTAAGAAGATAAAATAATGGGACAATTTACAAGATGTAGATAAGACCAAAGGAAACTAAATGGGATAGTGAAATACCCCAGGGGTAGCTACTGTGGGAAGCCTGAGAGAACAATACTGGTAGCAATTAGCTGAAGCAGCAGAAACTACAGCTGATGAAGGCTGCCTCCCTGGAGGTACACTCAGTGAGAAAAACTCCATATCCATTTCCTAGTGCTGTAGGGAAGGATTCTCCCACCTTTTAATCTTTGCTTATTCTTCCTATTAGCACAAAAGTGCCTAGAGCTTCAGGACATTAGTGTCCAGGGATATTGTACATAAGACTCAGCATCCCGAGGCACTGAAAAGGGATTAAAATGGTGAAAAGGAGGTCTCTAAGAACAAACAGAATATCCAACACAGCTGATCTCTTTCACCCTCAGCATCCACTCTTATTGTTCCAGATGAAAAGTGAACACAGAGGACACACAAAATCCTGATGTAACAGGAAACTTTCCTTGACTGTTTCACAGTCCTTGCGACAGGGGTGCCTTGCTTACTCAGCCTGCAGCTCTCAACCGCTCACAGGAGGGGGAATACACAGGTGAGTGGGTGCAGAAGCCAGAGTGAGTGCTTTTGGGTACTCAAAGGAGCAAAATTCTGTGTGGCCCCACAGAAGCATCTAGCCGGTACTAGCGACCCCTGAAAACCAAGAGGACATTTGTTACAGTTTTTTAAGTTTGCTGCTGCAGATGGCGTAAGTGTTAACAGCTCAGTGGAGGGGCAATGTAGCAGCCTTTTGCACCTGCACCCGAGTCCTCGTCTGGCATCCAGGAGGAATGAGGTTGCACGAACAAATTGAAGGGTGGTGAATGTGAAGGATTTTACTGCTGATGAAAGTGGCTCTCAGTAGGAAGAAGTGCCAGAAAGGAGATGGAGTGGGAAGGTGATATTCCCATGGAGTCCAGCCATCCCCAGCAGGACTCTTCTCTGAAGTCTTGCTATCAAAGCCATCCCTCTGAAGTCAAGTGGCTTCTTTTTGATGTCTGGCTACTTCTTCTTTTCCCTCCTTCTCTGCTCTTTGACAGTGGAGCCTGTGGTTTTTATGGGTACCGGATTGGGGTAGGGTAGGCCAGGGGTGGTTTTGCAGAAGGCAACATTTAAGTGAAAAACAGGGATGTAAAGTTCTCACTTTGGACCACAGATCCAGGCCTGAGGGTGAGGCTCTTGCCAGGAGCCCGGCCCTTTTCTTCCTAGAATGTCTCTGTCTCCTGTCCCTATCACTATCAGCTGCCATATCATTATGGGTTAATATCAATTCAGTAATACTTTAAAATAGATCTATAATATTTACTACTACCTCTGCAATTTATACTGTAGCAGGAATGGTCGTGGGAAAGAGATTTCCCCAAGACCAAGTGTGTTATTTTCAGGAAGGAGATTCAGGAGGCACCAGCTGTTCTGCTCTCTCCTCTATTGAGATGCACAGTGGATGACAAAGGGGGAGAGAATCCCAGATGCCTGGGTCTCCTTCCTCACCCCACTCTTTGAGACC